AGAAGGCATAGTTTGCCTTAAAATCCATGCTTGCTGTGTATCACAAATTAGCTGGGGTCGTTGGGCTTATTTGTTAACATTCTTACAGTAATACTCGTACTTTCAGGGTTGGAATACCACTGGGGGTGATGATGAAAAGAGGAAACTGGGTTGAGTCTGGATAATAGCAGCCTTTTAAGAGACATTTTAAAGGAAAATTTACACCAAAAGTCAAGCATTCCTTGTGATCTAGCATAAGCAGATTTTCTAGCAATCCATTAAGAAACTGGCTGAATACAGCCCTTGCTTAAGAACTTATGTCATAATTGCATCCTTAAGGGGAAACTACTCAACTGATTATGGGAAAACTCAACTATCACTCCTTAACTCACTTTAAGCGACATAGTCTGAATAGGTACTTATTAAAGAATGATTGATGGTCTCGAAACATACTTATACTGAAAACAAAGTGAGATAAATTAGCGTGCATTGCATCTAATTTGAAGAGGCGATTGAAAAGGATTTATGACTAAGTCTCAACCCGATTGTAGCTATATGTGAATATATTCCAGACGCACGGTCCTGCAACTCGATTAAACAGCATTGTGCTTTTGCCTGCCATGCGACAAACTTCATCCTATCCAGAAACCATAATTTACGATAGATCCAGTCTACGAATCCCGTCCACCCGCATTTTCAAATGAAATTAAGGGTACGTCAACCTTAATGTTGTTAAGGGTTTCCACGAAAGATCATATTCCTTTCATAAGTGAAAAATTACTACGACAAAAAAGGGAATGACCAATACTTACCTTGCGTGAGTAATCGGACCTTCTGACCGGAAGTAGTAGACGTGACTTTTGTAGGCTACCCGTATCACATTCTGTCGTGAGCACGCCGTCGCCTTAAGATCGGTCGCTAAACGATTGCCGGCTGGTTTCAGCTCATGCGCGATGGAACACTGCCCTGATCCAGCCGGTACCAACTTTTGGGTCGACTTGGCTTTAGTCCACAGCCCAGGCCTGGAGACGTCTATGCCCGAGGCTAGAGTATCACTGACGATCGCCTCTTTTTCTCGGACCGACTCAACGGCCTCCTGACCAGCCACAACTGCCTCATCTCCGAACTGGCCAACCTCGGTCCTTGCGGTCTCCACTTGAGTTCCCGTCAATCGCTGTTGTTGTCCGGCCCGTCTGCCCAAATATTCTGCCTCATCGAGTGTCACCGGAGTGATTGTGTAACCGAGTAATGGCAGACTGGCCAGATGCGAAGAGTCAGTCGAGCTTCTTGAGAAATAGAAGCACAGGTTGCTGAACACGGCCCAGAGCTTTTGCCAGCCGGGGCTGTTTTTGAACTTGCGCAACAGATAGCCACTCAATTCGCACTGGAAAGGATGGAGAAGCGTGATTTTTGTGGTTACTATCGAGCTCACCTCGTTCAGGGCGAATAACGAAATGTAAGGTATGAGCAAACGGAACAGGATGGTCATTGCATACTTATGCAAGATATAATCTGAGCCACAGACAGTGATTAAAATAGGGCAGATTAATTATTCAATCCATTGCGTTAAAGATCCATCACTGAATAAATACACTTTTCGAGAGGTAGACATTTGTATGACGAGTTGCCAAATGAACTGGAATTGCTGTTCTTTCCTCTTGCTGTATAGAACCATGCGCCGGACACACTCGCAGTGACACCGTCAGTGAACAGCATTGAATGAGTACGCGACTAAAATGACAGTGGACACAGTACCAGACAGGTCCTTTAAAGCCTCGCCAAAAACAAGGTCAAACCAAGAGAGTGTAACTAAACCAGAGGCCATATGCTTTTGGTACTCATATCGAAGCTGGAAATCTTTTTGTCTGATTATCACGATTAAGTGAAGGAAAGTTGCAATTTATCAAAGCATCAAACGGAACCATATATCATATAAAAGAGCTCATGTTTGACCATATATTCTACCTCACTTAGTAAAAATCAACCAGGAGGCAGAATATCAGGAATCAGCAGGACGGCAACTCAAAATCACATGTCAAAGCGATAATGATATATCAGTGAGGCATACATTTGTTGAACAAGGAGGCCTTATAACTGGGATTAATAAAGAGTAAAGACAGAAATTGTTGCCACATAATCGGGCGAGATGTGCGTATCATCGGCCATTAGGGGGGCTAAATGTTTTGGCCACCACAGTATGGCGCCATTGACAGAGTTTTATAAACTCGGCTGTTTCTGATCGCCAAATTGGCAGAGAGGCGACTCGAGGTTGGGAGAGGATCTCAAATGACAATGATGACAGAAAATGCTTCTCCATAATTCTTCACGCAGCTCCCCTTTTTGTTAAAAGCATTTCCTACTCAGGCGACAATCTAAGTGATACCTTTCTAACTTTATTGTCATCTCCAAATGGTATTCGGTGCATTTAATAGAACACAAGGATAAGAGCAACCTACAGGAAATCGCATCCCCGTTCGTTGCAATCATGATGACCATTGATGAATTGAATCAACGCTTGCGTTGTTAAATAATATTCTACGAACTAATTTAGATGCAGAATCATGGTGCGAAGTAAAGTAAGAAGCTGGAAACTAAAGGAACTATATGCTAAAGGACAACCATTTAATAGTTGAATGGTGATTGTGTGGAAAGCAAGAGGAAAATAAATTGGGCTTGTGAGTGAAAACTGCTGCACCAAACTATATCAGATTTTAAGCCTGACAACATTATCAGATTATATTTTTCATCTAAAAGTATAGTTTCGATCAGATCATTACTGTATGTGGCCAATATGTTTGCTAATTGCGGACGCAGGTTCCTAGTTCAATTAGGACCTCGTAAGAATGTATCGGTGTGTACAAATGTTGTCAAATGTGCTCCTTGAACGATTGAAAGAGCCCATGTTATGCTTCAGGTTTTAGGATGGCGATGGTGGTTCGCTCCTCCAGCCTTAATTGACCATAGCAGAGCATCTTTTGTCATTCCACTGCGCCATTGTACGTAACAACTTATGTTCTTTGTACATTTTTCCTAGTAAGCTACCTTATTTTACTCTAAGACTTTTCGTGATTCAACTGGCTTCAGATGATACGAGTGATAGATGTATTGGTGTATTTATTAATCGTCATTGTAAGTTATGATTTTTCGTATATAAGCAGAGTCCTTCATCACCTTAAACAAAATAGGGGGAATATATCTCATATAACTGATTTACTGGTAGTCTTGAAGCACTGGTTATATGTGAAAAATATATAATATAGCCGATTGTTATAGCAAAAATACATTTGCTTCATCAACAACCCCACCAAATAATGTGATATGGGAAAAGGCCTGGCCTTCCTTGAAATACACATCTGCCCTGTGACCCAAGAGCACTCGTGGCAATGTGGCCGAGTGGTTAACGTGTCGA